AAAAAACATTTTTTGACATTGAGTACTACTTGTCATCTTAACGAACAATTTTTTCTTTATTTTTTTTTTTTTAGGGAGGGGGGGGGGTTCAATTAGTTTAAAAAAAAAACAAGGGGGTTAAAATTAACTAAGGAATAATTATTAATAACTTATTCACCTGTGAAAAATTTTCAAAGAGTAAAAAATCATTTTTACATAAATAATTTATAGATAAATAAATAATAAATAAATAAATAAATAAAAACCGGTAATTTTTTCATTATTATTATTAAAAAGTAATAAAAATAAAAATAAAAACTTTGGTTTTTACTCAGGTCGGTCAAAGTGTAAAATAAAATAAAAATAAATAAATAAAATAAAAGTTCAAAACCGCGAGAAAAAGGTCATATTTTTCCTACGAAGAATCATCATCATCATCATCATCATCATTATTATTATTATTATTATCATTATTTATAATTTTTTACTGTTATTTTAAATTCACACGTGAAAATTTTAATACAATTTCTTTTTTATTGTGCGTGGATGGTTTGGAAAAAAAAAAAATAATAATAATAATAATTTTTATACCTCTTTCTCTCTCTCTCTCTCGCGGGCGCGGGTCGAGCAAACGTTTTTACCATATATATATATATATATATATATTGTTATATTCGGTTCGTTCTTTATTTTTGTAAGTAATGAACAAGCACTTAAAACTATCACAAAACTAATATTAATAAACAAGAACTTATTACAGCTAGACTAAAAATCAAATGAACCAACGCCAAGCTGTGTAGCTTGCCTATATTACTTTGGTCTTTCGTCAGTCAACTGTTTCGAATGTTCGAGCAAACACTTGCAAATAAAATAAAAGAAGGAGTCTTTAGAAGCTTCGCTTCTAAAGAAGAACAATTTGAGTTCGTCGCCAGTCTTTTGTTTATAAAAAGTTGAAAATGTGAATATTGAGTACGGGATCATAACACCTCCCCCCTTAAGACGGAAAACAATTATTTTGAAAAAAGAATTTGTTTTCTCCTCTTGTTCGGATTTGACAGTTTCCTATGTCGGGTTCTGAATGGTTCCGTCCAGGTTGAGACTCCTTGAGTAGTAGTAGGTGCTATGTCTTCTGTATGGTAGACTGTTGTATCTCTTCACATTGGCTTCTTATCAGGAACATCATTTTAAGCTTTATAGCTGCAAGTAGTAGAACCTTTCCTAGGCAATACTCGTTAGTGAACAATGTTTCATAAAGAGTAAAGATAAAAGAATAAAATTATGAGACATAAAATTCGAAACAAAATTGACATAAGTTCTAAAAAATATAAAAATTTTATATAGGAAACATAAATAATGATTAGAAAAAGAATAAATGGATTAATAATAAAATAAATGATGATTAGCTGTATGGGAAAATAAAAGGATTAAATTATTATTATTTTGGATTTCTCTCTCTTTAGATCAACTACTCAGAACACGGTTTTGTGTTGTTAACTTCCTTGTTACGGATTTTTAATAAAACATTTTTGCCAGATTTTTTCTTGACCTCGTATGGATCTTTAAATTCAGGACTAAGTTTTTTATTTAGATTTCCTCTTGCTAATTTTTGACTGGTTTGAATCTTCTCTTTTTCATTAGACGATAGGTGAACTTTACTTAGTAAAAATAGCTTTACCTCAGGAATACTCTCTTCGTGAAAATCGGTTGACATAAGAATGGATGCTTTCTTCCTAGATTTCTTGGTACTGGAATTCCATTTCCGCCTTTTAGTATGCTTCCCAAAATTATGCTTGTGAATTTTTTTAGTAGCTCCTATATTTTTATTTGAAATTTTTGTTTCCTTTTGAATTTCAGCTTTAGGATGATTTTTAGGTTTTGAATTCTGTATGGATGATCTTTCTTCTTTTACTTTTAGACCTTTTTTCTTATTTTTATTTTTAGGAAGTAATGGTGCTTCTTTAGCCTTTTTCTTAGATAAATTTGTAGAGGGTGCTTCTTTAGCCTTTCTCTTAGATAAATTTGTAGACGTGCTTCTTTAGCCTTTTTCTTAGATAAATTTGTAGAGGGTGCTTTTTCCTCTTGAGCAGAATTGATCCTGGTAAAGAATCTGTTTTCTCTTCAACTTCAAGTTTGGATTCTGGTAAAGGATCTGTTTCTCTTCACTTCAAGTTTGG